AAAAATACTTTCTGTGTGGAGCAGGCTGGTTCACAAGAAAATACAGGTTGTATCAAGGCATGAATTGACCCATGGTGATGTGCTAGTTTTCTATTATGCTGATAGTAAAAACAAACAAAAAAAAAAACCAAACAAAAAAAACAAAACCTAAAAAAAAAAATAATCAATAGATGAAGTGGAAGTAATTTTAACTTTGTTGTTTCCCAGTTTTTCTCCTGGAGCAGTTCAGCCTAGATTTTCTTGGCAGTGATCTTACTTTCAGTGCCATTGAAAACTCATCTACAGAAAGGCTTTAAAATCTTTATTTGTTAGAATGACAAAGTCAGTAAATTAGAAGTGTTGCTATTAACCTGGGACCTGATTCTGTCAACATTTATGCAGGTGCCTAATTAATTCCTGTAGTTAGGCTGAGAGATGTTAATGGATCACATTTTTCAGTCTAAGTGTATGCACTGTTTTCAAGACCACAGCTCAAACTAAGCAAACAATATTTAATTTTTCCTCTAAGGTATTGATTTGCTTCTGAATCTGAAATTCATAGCCAATCTCTCTGTACATAATAAATGAATCATCCTCTGTCTGGTGCATTTACAATTTTCAATGTGAGATACAGATTTGATGCCTTTGCTTGTAGTTCTTTTTGCTGTCGGCATAAAAATATCCTTCTTTGTATAGGAAAAGACAGATAAGAAAGACAAGGTTTTGTGGGTGCAGCTGGGTTAGGTTATTCCCCGTACATCTCTTTAATGGAGCTCCTCAAGTGTGGCCCAATAACCTTATCTGGAGAACAATACAGTTCTCAACTCAATTTCCAAAAACTTTACTGCCTTAAATGGCAACATATGCCTAGAGAAACTATAAGTAATAGCATCTTATTAGTTTAAGATGTTGTTTTCTTGCTTGTCTAATCAAAAAATGAGCACTGATGTAAAAATGCAATTGGCAAGCAAGCAATTCTTAATATCGTTTAATAGCTAATTCCATTTTGAAACAGCAGATAATGTACATGTGTTATAGGGTAAATTAACAACTAAACTACAGCCAGGTCTGCAAGGTCAAAATTGTTGAAAGAAGCTTTCACACCCAATGGGCAGTCCCTGTGGTAATACATGTGGTCAAGAATGAGCACCTTATGTTCACCAAACAAAACAAAATGTAACTTTTGATGTCCTCCTCATGGCCTGATGCTTATGAATCTACTATTGCTGCTGCTTGAATGAACGAATGGAGGAATGAATGTTAGCATCTTTCCAGTGGTATAGTGAGAAAAAATGACCTTTGGGGCTTCAAGGCTTCATTGGCTGAGCTGAATGACTTTAAAAGTCCCCCCAAAAGGGTAAAGAATCCCGTACAGAGACAATATGCAAAAACGTGGAAGAGCCTGTCATCCTTTGGCAACGGAGTTCTGCTTTGACCTCTACCTGTTTGTTCCTCTTGTGCATCCATTTCAAGCAAAGTGTGCTCTAAGTCTGATATCATTGTATCAGTAAAGTATTATATGAGTTAAAAGCATCTCTCAGAGATGAAATATTTATTTCTGATGCTGAACAAGGTCCTGTAGCTGCCCACTAAATACTTTAACAACTTCCATAATAATGGGGGGGGGGGTCTGATTTAGCAAGCAAATAATATCTTAAAATATTTCACTTTTGTGTCTCCCTTGTAGATCTCTATGCCTAAGACTATGACTTCAGAGAACTTGCTTGTGACCAGACTAGTATAACAAATACAGCACGTATCCCTGCTTGCTTTTTCTGTGTGCTTTCATGTTCATAGGTCAAGTAAAAAAAAATTAGAAAACAGTAATTGTAGCCCAAATATAATGTTTAGATGTTAATTATAAATTAACAATATATATTGCAAGAAGGGAAATTAATTGCAATGATCTAGTAAAATAAGTATCTTCTTTTTTTTTCTGGGAAAAAAATCTGAGCAGTGAACTTTTTCAGGCTATGAACAATTTTGTTGAGGAGTTGGTGGAAGATCCTTCATGTGAATATTTTAAAAAAGATTCAGAAATAGCTTCTAGATAAAAAGTATAGAAGCAGTTATGTTATTTGGACTAAATTATGTCATCAAAACATAGAAATATATTTTTGGGGTTTTTTTTCAAAATACTTTCACATCTTGCTTATGCACAAGCTAAAAAATCTCTGTTGGGTATTTAAAAATTGGGTGTAGTACTCCAACTAGACTTCATAGTGTCTTCTCTCAAGTCTTTTTTTTTTTAATATACTGTAACAATTCTAGATTGACCTTTGCCATTTTTTACAATAACATCACATGGTCAGAGGCATTGCAAAAATATGTTTGACTTTATCTTTCTGGTTTGACAATGTACGGCAGGTAATTATTCCTTGAGATACTTTTTCTCATGACTTCCATGTCCACCTTACAGTAATTTGATTTACATTTCCCTTATTTTGCTTCTATCGTGTGTGGCCATGTCAAAAATTGTACCAAAGTCAGGCTGTATCGTATCTACTGCTTCTCCCAGCCTACTAGTTAGCTGCCCTGTCAAGGAAAATATTGTAGTAGCTTGATGCAACCTATTTTGACAAATCTGTTGCCTTTCTGGCATCTGCTCCGTATTTATAAGATAATTAAACATTAATTGCTTTACATCATGTTTCATTTTCTTTCTGGATACTGAAATTAGGCTGAATATCCTATAATTCTTCCTTCTTTTCTCTACCTTTATATTAATAAATAGGTGCTTTTCCCTCTTTTTCCAAATCCCTGGAACTTTCACTATTTTTTTTCTTGAGTTCTGAAAGACTGTTCAAAAATTGCTTTGATTATTTTCCTAAGAACAACAGGGTAACTTTTATTATGCTCAGTTACCTTGAAGACATATTTAGTAGATACATTCATTTATGTTTATGTAGATGTTCTCCAAACTGCCCTTTCCTAATTCAGGTCTGTTTCACTCGTAGTTATGTTAAATACCTGACTACATCTGCTACTTAGGAAGTTCTAGACAGAAATTTAAGGACCCTATAAATTAAGGTTCTTTACCTCCTTTTCTGTTTCCATTTTTGCATCTCTGGCTTTACTCATTTTATCCCTATGACCCTAAATAATTTTTCTTTTATTCTGTATATTGGTTTTGTTGTATTTTTAATGATTGCTTTTTGAATATTCAGGCTAAAGACTTCCTTATGCAATCATATTAGTCTCCTACTACGCTTTCAAGTGTTCCATTAATTAAGATAATTTGATATATCCGTTTATTAATACTCTTTCCAAAACTTCCATCTCTCTCGAACTCCTTTTCTGCTTAAAATGTTTCCCCTCTGCCTGGAAATGTTTTGTTAATGTTTAGTTTTTTAAAGTCTGTTATTGCTGTCAGTTGTTCTTGTTTTCTCCAATATATCCCAAACACTTATGGTACTTATTGAACATTGTCTGCATGAAAAATACAATTCTGTTCTTTTGTCTGCATATATGAACAAATATATATGTGTTTATATATATATATATATGTAGGTAGAATAAACAAGATTGGAATAGATATATCCCTTTAAAGGGATATCCCTTTAACATCCAGTGAGAAATACTTAAATGCCAGAAACAGAAAAGTTGAGCTCATAGTTGCTGACAGTTATTCTTCAAGATGTAAACTGGTCTTGAATCATGTTTTTCTGTGTTTTTACTTTAAATCGGATAGTAAGCAAGATGCATAAAGCATAGTTTTCATTATTAGTAAAATATATTTAAGGACATTCAGTTAAGAAGAAAATGTGGTTTCCTGCCACAGTGACAGTTAACTTCCCAGGAAAGATTGTCACTGCTCTTGATGAAAATTACACTGGAAATTCCCCTTTGTATTCCTCAGTCAGGATCAGGCTACCAAAAAGTATATTAAAAATAGAGTCTAGGGAAAAAAATATAGAGAAAGATAATATTGCAACAAAAAAGGCAACTGAGTTAGGAATCATCTTTTCCTCTTCCAATTATAGTGCTAAAATGATAAAGCCAATGGTACAACGATTTAGATACCTAGATGCTAGAAGGCAAATAATAAAAATGATGTGAATATAATGAAAATATGTCTGTCTGTAAATCTTAAGCTTGGCACAAGTTCATTAAGTTTGTAAGAATTGATCCCAATGGATTTTGTATCCAGGTTCCTAATGAAGCGTTGATTCTATTTGTCCTGTGGTATATGAGAACACAGTCCTCCAATATTGATGTTAAAATGTTGAAGAACAGGAGTAACTAAGTACAGGAGTATAGCCGTGTTACAATTAGTGGGACCTGATGTTCATAACATGAATAACTGTTTGTAGGATTTGTGTTTAAGTTGTTAGGGAACTGATTTGGGGAACATTCATCTTTCTGCATGCAGAAAGTGATTATACCTTCAAAGGAATCCTGTATGAAATTTGAAGAAAAGCCTCTGGTTACTTCAAGGAATGCCTTTAATCTATTTACATAAGTAAATAATTGCTTTAAGATATGTGTTCAAAAAGCTCGTACCACAGTTTATAATACCATTAGCTAATATCTGTGGCTATTTTTTGTGTTATATGCATGATGATAGTGAAGAAGCAGAATGTCCATTTATGTGCCTTCACAAAAGTCATTTGCTAGATTTTGCATTCTAAACATGTTTTGTCCCTTATACAATTATTATTATTTAATATGAGCCAGACTGCAGTTAGTTATCTAAATTTGTAGGCGTAATGGCTACATTTTGCTTTGATCATTTGGTATAAATATGTACCGTGTTCATTCCAAGTTGTAAGGGTTTTAAATGTGCTTTGCTGATAGCTCAGTTAGCTTGCAGTCTTTTGAAAGTTAGTAAATCACGCTTTTTAAAGGAAGTTCTCTTCCTTTGTTGTGCAATTGGAGGAAAGAACATTCAGATGGGTATTTTCATGCTGTCAGAAAATGTGCCAGAGCTCTGCATGTGTAGAGTTGGTGCAAACTCATGCCATGAGCCTTCCTGGATCTTGAAATTGTAACAACAGTACGGACCATGTCTACTGGAAAGTATGCCCAAAGGCAGGTGGAAAATGTGTCTAATCTTACTGCCTTTCATTTTGTTTAATCTAGTTATGCCACGTTTTGCTGAACAAGTTGAGGTTGCCATCGAAGCTTTGAGTGCGAATGTCCCACAGCCGTTTGAAGAGAATGAGTTCATCGATGCCTCCCGCTTGGTTTATGATGGAGTTCGTGACATCAGGAAAGCTGTTCTGATGATAAGGGTATGTAAGGCACCTGGGAAATAAAAGTTGGGACTTAAGGGAAAGTATCATATTGCATGAGAGGAATATAAAAGCTTCTTGGGATCAACTTTGGTTCATAATAAGCCATAGGAGCATGATATTGAAGCAAAAGTACGTGCAGCAATAAAGAATTTGTAAATAAAGAGATGAGGGTATTTTAGGGGATGAACCACAATTAATTTTTTAATCACCTAGGAGATTTGATCACAGCTTCATTACTATTTCCGTAGTAATAGCATTAATTTGCTAAGATCTTCAAAGTTTATGCAGATTTTTGTTGTGGGTTTTTTGGTTTTTTTTTTTTTTTTTTTTTCCTAATATATGTGTGCCACCTAGGATGTGAGGTAAGTCTGGTTAAAATCTAAATGAATAAAGAGATGATCCTGCTGCTCCAGTTTTGAATGTTTACTGTGGTAGAGAATGTGTCATTTTAGCATTGACTAACCAGTTATTCAATTTGCTTAGGCATCTTTTAAAAAAAACAAACTAATAAAAAAACCCCACAGAACAACATAATTATTGTGCAAGTAGATGTGTGTCTTGCTTTTCAATGTAGTCAAAGATTAAAAAAAAAAAAAAACACCACACAAAAAAACCCCAAACCCAGTTCAACTCATCCCTTTGAGCAAAGAGGTAACGTACACTTGTGGTTGGCAGTATATCATGGCACTGACGTAAGACTTCAGGCAGTTGGAGCACTGCAAGATAGCTTAATTTTAGTCATCTGCCACTATGTATGAACATTTACAGAAAAGCTTTCGATAAGCTTGATTTTATAACTGCGAAACAGAAATTCCATTCCCGTACCCAGTGCTAATCTCAGGTGGCCTGAATTATAGTCATGACTGAGGATGGGGGCAAACCTGTCCTGTTTTCGAGCTGTGCAGTGCTGGGATATTTGCAACTGTTCTGAACTGGGATGGAAACTAAAGCTCTGCATACTAAAGGATCTCCATTTTTCCTCTGATTATCCAGTTCCTTAGTCTGTAACAGCAGTTTCCAAACTTCTCTTAGGACAAGAGCCACTTCTAAGCACATTTTAATCTTTTAGAGTCTCTCATGAGTCATTTTAAATTGCTTCATGAGACACAGTCATCAGGTGGGATCAGGTATAGACCCACGCTTTACCATCCCCTACGCAGAGTTCTGCCTTCCAGCCTTCTATCGCCCTGTACATCAGAGTTGTCCCAGAGAGGTTGCCATGAGGCTGCCCACAGTGGGTGAGATGTTTCTGCCAAGCACAAAGCACCATTTTGAATTCTGGAGGCACATTCACTTATTTCGTTGCTCTCTTACCGTTATGTCAACCACTGGCTTGGAAAGCTGATCAGCGTGCAGGCTTCACAGTCTCCTTAGAAATATAGAAGGGTCTGGAGCACAGGTCTGACGAGGAGCAGCTGAGGGAGCTGGGGGTGTTTAGTCTGGAGAAGAGGAGGCTGAGAGGAGACCTCATCACTCTCTACAACTGCCTGAAAGGAGGGTGCAGAGAGGTGGGTGCTGGGCTCTGCTCTAAAGGAACAAGTGATGGGACAAGAGGAAATGGCCTCAAGTTGCGCCAGGGGAGGTTTAGGCTGGATATTAGGAAAAATTTCTTCACTGCAAGAGTGATCAGGCATTGGAACAGGCTGCCCAGGGAAGTGGTGGAGTCACCATCCCTGGAGGGGTTCAAGAAACGTGTAGATGTGGTGCTGAGGGACATGGGTTAGTGGGTTAGGTGGGGTTGGGTTGGACTTGATGATCCTTGAGGTCTTTTCCAACCTTAATGATTCTGTGATTCTATGATCCCAGGTTACTTTTGCCATGGTATCACTGCCACTTTCTGCTCCTTGTGTGATAGGAATTAATGAATTCTGCTTACCCAGATTAGGAAGATGTATTTTTACATTCAGACAATTAACTTATTTATGGAGCTAAATGTAGTGCTCCTTACCCATGCAAAGAACTAAAGGATGTAAATGGACTCATTATCCATGTGAGTTAACTGGGAAAATCCATGTATATAAACTTACATAGACCAGAGTTTGCTGTATCAGAACCTTATTTTCTGTAGAAAACAAAATTAGTTTCAGTTTGAGACAATCTTTAACATTCCCTTCCGGACATCTGACATTGAAATGGAATATGAAGGGTGACCATTAAGCTGTAAAAGACAGTCTTTAAAATGTTTTTATGCAGTAATCTATTAAATCTCATGCCCCCCTTTAATTCAGGCTGCAAAACTTCTTGTGGAATTATAATTAAAAAAAAGAAACCTAACAAACTTTTTAGAGCATCTGATACAAACAATTATTTTCAGGGAGTAATTTTTCATGTGAATGCCATGAAAGATTGAAGTTGTCTGCGATGATTCCCTCATTCCATGGAGGAAATAAAGCCACTTTTTAAATTAATTAATTCATTATTTTTTGTTGATATTATTACTTTTAGTAAACTGAAGGAAAGGGGGATAATCTCTGTTCTTCTCTCTACCCTTGAAAAGGGGAGATTTTATTGTCCCTTTGGAAGAGAAAGGAGACTCATTTTTGCATTGGGGACTATTGTTATGATCTATATAGAAAAAAAAAAATCTCTTTCACAAATTAAGTAGTAGTATAAATAAATTTAGGAGTATAATTATAGAACCTAAAAATAAGATATAAAATAATAACTTAGTTCCAACATCTTTTATATTACTGCATAGGGATAAAATTACACTTTGTTATTTTCATAGCCACTTATTAAATTCCCTCAGTTATTAAACAGAAATCCTTTCTACAGTTAGAAGGAATCACAGTGGCACCTTTTCTCTGTTTTATGTATCTCTGAGGCCGGTCTTCTCTTTTCACACATGGCCCTTGCTGTTGGCAACCTCACCGTTAGTTGCATCTACCTTAGCATTAGAGTTACATTTATTTGGACCAGGAGAGCACTTTTGGAGCCAGTCTCCAGTTGTTCCTGTTTCAGAGTAGTCTTAGAGCATATGAGCTTGATTCTTCGCAGTGATCCTGGATGATGTGCTCTAGGAGCATCTTAAATGCACTTATATTCTATTCCATCATTGATGGACTTTCCTTCCATGGGAGCAAACTACAGCGAGCCTGGGTAAAAATGAAATTATGGTAGTGCAGATGTGGGGTCCTTAGCACCAGCTGTTGGGATGTATGAATCCTCTTTTCCTTTTCCACACTTGCCAATGTAAGCTTAGCCATGATCACCTATGGAGTAGCCACTGTGGTGAAATTCAAAGTGTTGCTACATCTCAGATCCTCCGGACAACTCGACTTGATGCAGCATCCATCATCTTTTTAAATAGCCTATCCAAAGGGTGTTATGGGGTCTGTTGTCCACAGTGACTGCCTGTTGCTTCTCAGGTTGAATTTAGAGTGTTAGATTTTACTGTAAATCATTAAACAGCTGGAGACCTGCTGTGAGACAGGTTCTCCGTCTTTGCCACTCAGATGCTGCTTGCGGCACCTGGGTCACCCAGGCTGCAACTGCCTTTGTACAAAAACAAACGTACAGGATACCATGGAGTTGAACAGAAAAGCGTATTATAAAGGCTTTTTTTTTCTCCTTAGCTTTTAGAAGTAGAGTATATTTTCAGTAAAAAAAAAAAAAAAATGGAAAAATATCTTTTCAGGCTTTCTTTTCTCTCATTGCAAGGTTAGCTTGACTTGGTGTTTACAGTGCTGAAATTCTTATAATTGTATCTTACAATTTTTAAGTGCATACAGCACTATAGCATAGTGGGGTTTCTATCTTCATCAAGTATATTTGAATTGGTGAAATTATAAACAAATAGTGTTACTAAATCTGCATGTATATGCCATTTTATGGCATACATGCATAATTCTCATTTTTATACTGCAGTTACAAAAGATAAAACAATTATATTGAGGGAAGCTTTTGGTTGTTTTGTTTTGGTTTTTTTTTACAGCAAGATCTTAAGTCTAGCAAGCAGAGAGAGGGATTTAAAAAAAATTCCAATGACTGGATAACTGGAAGCTTAAAGTCACCAAATTCATATTAGAAATAAAGCATGCATCTTAAAAGAGAAAATATATATTTTCTGGGTGATTTATCCAGATTGTGAAAGATTCTTCTTCATTGGGAGAATTAATCTGAATTAGATGAAAGAAGAATATGGTCTATGTGTAGTGTAGATACTGTATTTGAAAAAAATTAGCCCTTGGAAGCCTTACAGCCTGTGCTACAGAACACATAGACTAAAAATTATGAAAATGGTCCAAGCAGTGAGTTCATAAAATCTGTTGGTTTTGAAAATTACCCTATCTCTTCCTGCCACTGCTGGTTGTCAGAGTTTTGTTTGGAAGCTGTCTCCGGTCTCAAATGCACGTTTCTTATGTCTGCGTGACCACAGGTTCCAGGTGTCTGCAAGACTGATTCAGTTGTTCTGTCTTCCAACTCGGATAAATTAAGTTCCAGACTTTGTTGTCTTGGAAACTAGATTTTAAATACCAAGATCTTGTTAGTTGTGCGCAAAAAATAGAGTTGTTATGTTTAGAAGACCCTGCAAAGAGTAAAAAGCTTTAAGTCGAGGTACTTCAATATAACATTTATTTTTTTCTCCTTTGTGTCTAAACAAATAGGAGAGCTGATTATATATATATACTGCACCTCCAAGAGATCGCACAAAACAAAGCAGTGGTGCAAGAGTGAAAAGCATGCAACATGCTTGAAATAGGATCATAGAATCATAGAATGGTTAAGGTTGGAAAGGACCTTAAAGATCAAGTTACAACCTGCCTGCTGTGAAAATGGCAGCATGCAGATAACAGTTACTACTACTCTTCATCTTAATGAAAAATGTAGCTATTTTTGGAAGAAAATGAAGGTGTTATAATCTCCACACTTGAAAACCTTAAGCGAGTGGATCTGAAAATTAGTTTTGAATTAGATCTCACTTGTACAGAGGAGAAATACTTAGATTTCTTGTGTTTGTAGTGTATTATTAACAATTGTGTTAACTTGTCCTTTGGGCTTGGGCGTTTTCTCCAAGTTCAACATCTATACCCATTAAGTTTCAATCTTTTAAAGACCACAAACTTTAAAATTATGCGTGTCAGGCAATAACAGCAATACATTTTTCTGAATGTTTCTTTAAGAATGAATCCCTGAATTCACAGAATTTTCAGAATATTTTAGCTTTTTAAGAGGAAACCTCATGTCCTTACTAGTTACAGTGTTGAGATGTAATATTTTGAATATTACGCCCTTACTTTACTGCAACTTTGACTATGGAAACCTGGGAAAGGGCTGCACATAATCTTTTACAGTCGTTTCTATAAAAGTGGTGACAGAAGAAACTAAGAGTATACTTGGAGGGGGGAAAGGGTGCTGGTTTTACAATAACCAGTGCAACAGACTAGTTGAATGGACTTGGAGGAAGGGGAAGAGATAGCTGGCTTATCACAGAATCATTATTAAGGTTGGAAAAGACCACAAGGATCATCAAGTCCAACCATCAACCCACACCACCTAACTCACTAAACCATGTCCCTCAGCACGAGTTGAAACTCTCCACACTTCACAGTAAAGCCTAGACAGACGAAAAGCTGAGCCCTATGGTGGGAAATATTCTCTTTTGCTCAGGGATTTGTCTGATTCTCCTAGTAGCTCATTTGCTTATGGCAGGTTTTAAAGTCACATCCTGCCCTCAGGCAGATGAGCGGAGAGAACCAAGTGATTAAAGGTGACTGGAAAACAAGACCATTGGACATTATAATGATGGGTACCAATCTTTGGGTTTTTTTCCTGTGGCAGTAGAGAAAAGATAAATTCATTTTTTCACCTAAACTTCATCTCCTGTCTGTCCTGTTATACGCACTGCTTGTACATGCATCTCTTTCTGAGTTTCATTACCATACTGTCAGACGTGGTTGTTTCTTCCGCCAGCGCTCAACATCAAAACATGTATTTAATTCCCATTCTTTAAGCCAAATGAGGATGTCTATGTATTACTCTCCCCGTCATGTGCACTTCAGCATGGAGCTAGCAAAGCGGCTGATTTTCTGTTACTAACCATGATGTTCACTTCATGTTGGAAACTTTAATATAAATACTGCCAAAAGACTTCTCTACATTACGTTAGAGGGTTTGGACCAGTTCCTAGTGAGTGAGCATCTTCAGGATAGAGCTGTAATGACAACTGGCAATGATTAGCATCTTCACTATCAAACTTGACGTTGCCTCCAAGCATGAAATGCCAGCATGAATGATTTCTACTGTAATGGTTGGACCTCTGGGTTAACGCTGAGGCATATGGGTACCCAGTAAGGTGAGGATTTCTCTGCACAGTTGCTGTGATCTTTTTTTTTCTATCACCAGTATCATGTATTGTACCTACAGCGAAGTTATTCATGGATGGATTGTTGTACTAGATGCTATTCAAGGACAAAATGGAATATGCTCTTCATTCTAAAGCCTATTTCTGGTTTTTCACCATCTATATTAAATATAGAACTAAATTGTGAGGTTTAAACTAGGGTCTTTGTCTCTCCATATATACATAAGGAAATTTTTTTCCTCCTAATTTTTCACAAGAAGTTGAAAATACCAAATAAACAGATCCATCAGTTATTTTTTAGTCCCTCCTTCCAACATTTTAAACAACCTGAAGACAGCACACAGATAACTAGATTTAATCAATCTGCCCAGAGAACCTCACACCATTTGTAGCACCAGCAATGGAGATAACGTGGTTTCAGTTTAGGGGGTGAGGCAAATTCCAAAGCTCTGTATCCGAAAAGAATGCTGTGAATCAAGAAGATAAAGCAGATTATAAACTTTACATTGGTTTCAAAACCAATAACATAATTTATGTTTTCTTTCAAGAGGAAATCTCTTACTTGCTTTGATATTTTTTTCTTCCAGGGTGTTGGTTACTTTTTCCCGGGTATTTACTTTCTCTTTTGAAGTTTACATGGAGATTCCAGTAATCTAATGGTATTAATGTCCATTTATATATGAAATAACGTTATTTTGAAATACTACATTCCAGTTGTTAGTGTTTCCAAAGGATATTTGTTCCTGGAACTGCATTCATCATGTTAAGAGTTAAGAGAAGCTGCAGGAAGGTAATGATAAATGCCATTTGTAAAGAAAACTAGGGTTGAAACAACTTAATTTTTAAGACAATTCAATTTCAGTTCTTGACTGCTTGGCCAGACAAGTTAATTTCGAAAGAAGGAGAAGCAGCATTTCCTGGGCAGTTTGTCGATGAAATAAGAGCTTACTGTACATGAGACTTTGTCTGTATCCTTTATAAGCTTGTCATCTCCTCTCTTTTGCTTGCTCTCCCTGTTTCTCTCTCCAGACCCCTGAAGAGCTAGAGGATGATTCAGACTTTGAGCAGGAAGATTATGATGTTCGCAGCCGAACAAGTGTTCAGACTGAAGATGACCAGCTTATTGCTGGCCAGAGTGCAAGGGTGAGTATAAAATTCACACACTGCATTACATGTCTGTGTAGCTACAAATGAAAAGCCATGCCTCAGAAAGAAATGCAGTGATTTCAAATCTTTGGGGTCATTTAAGAAGGGACAGGAGTAAATTGACCTAGATGTTTAAAGTTTTTTCACGTCTCACCTCTTCGTAAAGCCCTGACTTTACTGAATGATCTTCCCTAGGGTTATGTGGTGCCTTATATCAGCCATTTGCTCCAGCTAGTGGTGTAGGAGGTGGCCTTGCAGGTTTGGAATGTGCTGAAACCGTGGGAGTAGTCAGCAAATTAAAAAAAAAAAAAAAAATCACATCAGGGCACCATGTGCTGTATCCAGAGAAATCTTACATTAGTCATGTTTCCCGGTGTGCAAACCTGTCAAGAAGATCTGTTTAAGCTACCGAGTAGTCCCTGTAATTTAATTGTAATTGAAGACATTTGTTACTGAGTCAATGTAATTTTACCAGGGTAATTACATCATGATAAACTCGAGTCATTGTGATTTGCAACCTTAGCTTGTTCATGGGGATTGCAAATGAAGCTGATGAGTGCTTCAGGGGTCACAGGTGCTGGAGAAGTGAAGTTTGTTAAAGCTCAGGATTATGCCACCTTCTGATGGATGTTTACCTTTTACTAAATAAGCTGTGCACCTCAGAATATTAGGAAAAAAAATTAGAATATAATTTTTGGGGCAAACAACATAATGAAAATATATTTGATTGGAAACAGAGTTTAAAAAAAAGCCTTAAAATTTTCCAGCAGAGAACCAGTGGGGAACTGGGAGTTACCTGAATGGTTTTTATGGCTGTGGTTTCTTCTGATAAGTGCTAAAAGTGAAGTAATGGACTAGATGAGAAGCATCCTTCCCCCGCACACTCAAACACTGTAGCAAAAGTGGGTAAATGGAAAGGTGACTTCTTACCTTGAATTCTTGAAGAGGATTTGTAGGGCTGAGAACCTGAAGACCAAAAGGCAACAATGCTTTGAAAGATCAATTCAGAGGACCAGGAAGGAGCTTTTCAGATGCTGTGGGACGACGCACAGTATGTTAGGGCTTGACACAAACGTTTTGTACCCTGAAAAGAAACAGCAGAGTAATGCAAACCTAGATGAAGCTTACTTAGAGGTATGGAAGGAATGTGAGACATAGATACGGTGGAATGGGCAGAAGTGTCTTTTTTTATTAAATTAATTTCCTTGAATATTGAATTCAGATGGTAAATAAACAGTACCCTGTATCAGAAAAGCTGTATTTCTATGACACTACATCCCAAGGACAAAAAATTTTGTCTTTGCATATCAATGACATATCATACATATCATAATGACGTAGATGAAGAGCACATAGATTGTAGGTCTCACCCCAGAGAGCTGGATGACCAGAAATTGGTATTGATAACCATGCAGTCAGGAGAATTGCAGAATGGTACCTGGATACCTTACCCTGAGAACAAGGACAGAACAATGTGCTAGATGCAGTTGACTCTTTTTTTTTTTTTTTTTTTGTATTTTAAAGAGCATAAAGTCCTGTTTGATATATTCAAAGAACTGATGACTAAGTAAGTCTCAGGTATAAAAATATTGAGATACTATACACTTATTTCACAGTCTTTTTGTTTGTTTGTTTGGGTTTTTGGGGGCTTTTTTTGGTTTTGGTTTTGGGTTGTTTTTTTTTTACTACATCTAACATTGGGTAGCATATCATCCTTTCTTGATTTGAAAACCAAGTAAAGACTGCTGTAATATTTTTCCTAAGAATCTAGTTCACCTGGGGACTTGAGAGTCTTAAATTCTATTCCATTTGTTGTGGTTATTAGCACTGCTGTACTTAAAACCTTCTGCTTTGATCAGCTGCACACTGTGTAAACATAATATATTATAAGGACAGTTCCATTCCTGAATAATAAGAATGCTATATGTCACAAGAAGCAACAAATGATGAAAACCTGAAATGAAAACATGCTCAACAGAAGCCACCCCGTCCACAGTCTTGAATGACTTGTTGAAATGAGCCTGCTAAGAATAATAGTATCTTATTTGAACCTTTTCTGTAGAAAAGCTGGATTTTTATTTCAGGAATGTAATGGGTTTGTTTAATGTGCTTACTTCATGAAGCCATTAGTATTTCAGTAGAAAGACTGGAGTTGGTCTTCAACAGAACTAAAACTTGAATATATGAGCTGCATTTGCTATAGGGTATAGTTTATTTAAAAATGCATCAGCAGCTGGAATAGAAACATTAAAACACTGTGTACTGCTTTAAAGGGTGTGCAGGTGAAGCTGCCCACAGAGAGAATGAGACATACATACAGATGGGCTTTCTAAATTTTACTACTGCTATCACATTTCCTTAGTTTCAGTTAATTCATCTGTTCTAGTGTTTTATATGTATTTTATATATTTATTTATTAGCTTGACTTACGCTGCATTTTTCTGTGGAAAGACTAATGGGCTAACATCAGAAACTGCTGAGTTACATTGATAAGGTCTAATTAAAACTCATGTTGAATTTTAATTTTATTAACTTGCAAATTTCTCATTTTCTGACCTACTGTTTATAACCCTTTTTTCATTTCAGTTTTGGAAAAGGTCAATTATGAATTTTTAAAAGCCAAGAGCATTTTAAGAATATGTAGAGAAAGACTTCAACTGATTGAAAGTGACATAAACAAGGAAAAATGTAATGACACTTAAACATGTGTCACACCCCATTAAATGCATAATGCAGTCTTCAGAACCCCTAAAGCCAAGCAGTAGCTCAACTTGGAAATCATTATTGGAACTGTCCATTAGATCTTCAAAAGTAATTATTATGATATTGTAGGGTTTTCTTTTTTCTTTTTCTTGGGGAGGAAGGGAACTTTCTGCTTTGTTGATAATGTCAAAGCAGATTAGTATCAACCTGGTTAGTGCCTTTTTGTGTATCTTCCAAGAGACAATTAGCCCACTAAATATTATTGAAAGGTACATTAATTATAATTCACTTCAAATGTATTATTTTGCATGTCATAGCTTATTTTAGGGTTGGGTTATGCAGAAAACCTCTATTTCTGACAGAGAATGAGGCTGGGGGCGATACTGGCAATTTATTCTGCCTTCTCCCATAGATGTCAGTTATTGTGTTTTTCCTAAAAGTTGAGATTTTACAGGAATTCTTTTTAATATTCCAGTAACAACTGGTGAATAATCTGTATATCATAGCATCACATATATAACTTTTAAATTCTTGAAGGTGTAAGAAGAGCTATAAACATCATGTGAATTTGTTTTCACCTGTCCTAACAGATATCAAATGTCTACTGGATTTTTATTGGCATCTTCAATTCCCATAAAAAGAAACTAGAAGTCAGGCATGCTGTTTGGAGCACTGGAAATGTGTATGGTTTCTAGTTTCCTTTTTTCATGCCCAACTTCTCACATTTTTTCTGCAGGCTATCATGGCTCAGCTTCCCCAGGAGGAGAAGGCTAAGATTGCCGAGCAGGTAGAGATATTCCACCAAGAAAAGAGCAAACTGGATGCGGAGGTGGCCAAGTGGGATGACAGTGGTAATGACATCATTGTGTTGGCAAAGCAGATGTGCATGATTATGATGGAAATGACAGACTTCACTAGGTAAGGACAAAATAACCTGTGCTGGGAACTTCTTCCAGCATCCCACATCTTTCCTTTTTGTCGCAATTTATAGCCTATTGAGATGATGCGCTGCGTTTTGGGGTATGCAAAGCCAAGTAACACACATCATACTTAATGGGGTGGGTTGTACAATTCTCTACATGTGACCGCTCTGGATATTTCTCCAAATGGGATTAATCACATGAAGTTGTTTTTTTTTTGTGAATCTGTTTTGTTTGCAGATTGTCTTGAATTTCATCAGCGAAGATAGTCTGTGACTTTACAGACACGCAACTGACATTTTGTGTAGTATCCATATGCCTCTCTGAACTTTCAACGTATCAACACAATTTGTGTCAAACAAAAATAATAGCAAAACTATTTATGTCATTTTGAACTCTGAACTTATTCCCAAAAAATCCCAAATTAGATGAAACTGTTTTGATCTAATATTTTGTTGGAGCCTATCAGTAATTATTTTTTTTGCTTTCATTTCTTTTTTCGGCTGATGTCTTTTTCTTTTCTAATTGCAAAGCATCAAAAGGCTGTTCATTAATGATATCCTATAAACAGAATTATTTTGCTTAAATTTAGTCATATTGTTAATCACACCAGGGAGAACATTTTACAAGAGTCTTTGAATTACAGATCACCATAATAAATTAAAGGCTTTTCAGTGTTGTGTTTTTTTTGTTTTGTTTTTTTTTAATGGGAGTTCAAAAGTTTAACTGCTTTGTATCAAAAAGTGATTAGTCAAAACAGCCCAAAAATCTTCATTTTTTTATTCAGAATTAAGATAAGACATCCACTTATTCATCTCACTGAGATACTCAAATAAATTGCTTAATCTCTGGCTGCTTTATGTTGGGAGCCTTCAACTCATTTCAGAGGAGAGAATATCTGCCTTGACAATATAGGGTTCACACAAACCTCATCTATATATGTATATATAGATGGATGATAGATATGGGTGTGTGTGTACAAATACCCTTAATTTGCAAATAACTTGACTATTGGCACTTACCTAGTTAGTTAATTGGTAATAGGCAGCAGCAAACATTTTTACCCATTTTAAATTTAATTATGCATATAGTAAGTTTGCTTACTTGAATGGATTACAGCTGTTCTTTTTGCGGTAGACTCACCACTCCTGTATACCAAATGGTAGAATAGAACCTCCTGGGAAGGGTGGTATTTTAAAGGAATCTTAATTACTTTTGTATTTGTGTTGTCTTTGGGTCTCTGATCCTTCTGCCCAAAGATGGAGTGAAAAACTGTCCAAACAGTGCCATCATTTCAAAGAAGGGAGAAAGAACGTTCTAAAGCAGCAGCCCAGAATATGAACACTTTCTGCAACCTCCCGGACAACCTTTGATACACTGAGCATCAAATTGAACATTCTGTAATTAGATTTTTCTACCATCAAAAGAACAGAACTAATATGAGAATGAGAGAAAACTACTGTCACATCTGAAGTAAATTAAAAAAAAAAAAATCAAAATGCACCTCTGTCTACATCAGATTCAATAAAAGCTTGTTTAATATATTCCATTAAAATAGAACAAAGCCTTTCACACCTTTTTGGTTGACTGTAACCTCAGCAGTGTTAAAATAGAATAATTTTTCAAATGCATGGAGTTTGTGACAGTCAGATCTGCTGATATAATTAATGTTGAATTGTAGGAGGTCACTATGAAGGATTTTTGCTACAGTTTAAGTTCAACAAAGTGGGATACTTGTATTTCAATATCTGTTTAAGGTAGAAATGAAAGTATGGAAAGAAGATAAAAATGGAAATATGATTCAGTATGTTATTCTTGGCATTACAGGTGAAAAAATGCAAAAATAATTCTATGTTTTAGTTAGAAAAAATGCCTTCAGTTTTTGTTTAAAAAAACCTGTTTGATCATACTATGATTATTCATCAGTTTTGTCTGAAGCTATATTTCTCTACCTAGTATAAAAAAAAAAAAAAAAAAAAAAAAAAGTTTGAATCTGAAGACAACTGGGAAAACTCTGCACTGAATTTTTCTTTTTGTCTGTATACGTTCTGGTAACTGTAATGACTAAAATCAGAGTTTTGTGTGTAATCTTTATAGTGTAAGCTCAGTCTTAAAGCTAATTATATGTTATAGGTGTCACATTTAAGTGTAACACAAGAATTATGCTTCACGTATCTTTGTTTTCTGACAAAAAATCTACTAAAAAATATTTTCTTAAATGTGACGTTCTTGCTGTAGACATGACAGGCTTAACATTTAGCATTGGCTTGGGAATAACATAATTTTGAAATAGTTGTGTATTCCTGAAAGAATATTGGCTTAATGAGCACTTAAAAATGCATATACTACTAAGCGTAGCTCGTGCTTGAAGGCACCAGACTGAATTGTTAGTGAGGCGTTTTGTAAGAGAGAGGAAATATAGCAGACCAATTTCTTAATCAAGCTGTACTATAAAGTAGTTAAAAGGTGAAATTGTAATAAATTAAGAAGTCATTCATGTTACTATTTTAAAATCAAACACGAAACAGGGTCACTAAAGCTGTTGCCTTTCATGATTTATTTAGATTGCACGTAATTGTCTTGTATTTCACAGAGGTAAAGGCCCGCTGAAGAATACATCAGATGTCATTAATGCAGCCAAGAAGATTGCAGAGGCAGGATCGAGAATGGACAAATTGGCACGGGCGGTAGCTGATCAGGTAACAATAAAAATGAGAGAAATAGAATGTAACTTATTTATCAATGAGTTGCCTTTTGCAGGAAAAGGTTATCTTCACTTGGCAGAAAATTGCCTGTTGAAAGTCACTGCCTGGATACTGATTTACCCATTGAATAGAAGTTGTTTCTTCTAGACCAATCAGCTTGGATTTTTCAGGACAGGAAAGTCATAAATGGGTCTCTCTAAACCTCAGAAATGCCTAAATTGTTCCACAATTGTTCACTTCTGGACCCGGGTGATTGTTTTAGAATTAGACTGATATATTTGCTGTCATGAAAGCAGACTTGGATGCTCTGTTACCTTCACTGTATGCCCAGGAATCCTTATATTCTTTTCAGCTTGTTCTTCCAGCAATTTCCCTTGATGTGACACTTTTCTTTTTTCAGGATTCCCTGACTCTCTTTCTTCTGCTTTGCATCAGGGTATTGGACTTTCACCTTACACCCCCCTACTCCACATTCTAGGGTCTGTGTCCTCAGTCCCATTACCAAATTCATGTCACAACTGGAATGGTGAACTCGCTATATCCAGCCCCTTTCTTTCTGATTGCATTATCTATACATCTGGGGGGCAAGAGGAAGCATCATATTAAAAGTCGAGAGCCAAATTTCAAATCCAGGTTCTAGCTAGCTCATTTTAAAATTGGGTAAATTGAATTTGACTATTTTTTCCTTTGTAGACTTCCTATAGTTTCTTTCCTTTCATTGTCTTCAGGACAAGTTTTGCTGGAAGTGGGAACTGATAATTTCCTTGCCTCTAGTCTTTCTCTTCGAAATAAGTATATCTTTTTCTTCTTCAAGTAAGCATGTGATAGTGGGTAACACATCCTGCCAGGGAATACGGGCAGAGTGGCAAGAAACCTGAAGCTGCCCATTTTCCTATAACTTCAGAAATTTTAGGTTTAGGTTTTCTTCATTATCAGCAAGCATTTTTCCTGTAGTTAACCCATTCCAATCTTTCAACTGTAGCATCTGTTCATTTTAGCCTAAGAAAGAAAAAATCCATCTGTCAGCTGATGAAATTCCTAGTCTACAATATTTGCAGAGGTGGAATATTTTAAAGAAAGAAACATGAAGAGACTTGTTGTGCTTAGAGTGCATTGACTTGAGTCACATTTTAAATTTCAGAAGACTGTAACATGCACACTTTAATAATAAACAGTAAAATCACTATGAGAATGAAGGGTTTGTTTTAGTGCCTGCGCTTTAATGATATTTTACAGAACTTTGGAGACACTCATGTAATATAAACTTTTTATGGACAGTTGCATTTTTAATTACTGTTCCAGGGAGAGAGATCTAACATTTTCATTTGCTCCAAGGTACTTGTATTTAAAGCCTTGTCAGCTCTCTAGAAGTATTGCTTTACAGTTTATTTCTTTCGGTTCATAGACTTCAAGAGTAGGGTAAATATTTCTCTTATTAAAGTGTCACTGGTAGGGAGAAGAGGTCCCTTAGGGATTTGTGCCTGAAAGATGTGGCAACTGTCTGAGAAAGAAAGGCATTATAGCAATGCCGTAAGTATAGAGTAGCTTAAAGCTAACAGCCATGATGAACCTCCACCTTTGTTTATTGTTAGTTTTAAAGGGAGAGAAAAAAGTAAAGTGACTGCTTTCAGGGTTATAGATGACAGTATAAGCAGCTACTTCACTGCAAATGTATTCCTTGCCAGCATTAGCTGTTGGGGCTAGACCAGTCATCTCAAGTCAGCGGTTGTGATGCTGTTGCCTTGTGTGTGTTTAATTCTATTAGTTTTTGTTGAAGGGCCCTGATAATATTCTACAAAAATTGAGCATAAACTTTGCAAGATGCTAAAAAGCCGTATTGAGAAAATCCTAACCCTAAACCCTGAATCTTGGTTCCCTGTGCAATACATTCAAAGAACATTGTCAGTCAGACTTTGTTGGGTAGCCCCAAAGAGTATTGGAGATGTGCTGTTAGCAATGGACGCTTTTAGCAATGTTTTATCAGAGGGCATTACTGAGATCTGTTCTCTTGAGGCAAGCAAGACTTCGAATAGTAACTACGATAGTGTTGGTTTTTATGCTGTTGACATTGTGGGGGATGATGCAGTTTCTATTAGGAGTTCCAAAGACTATGAATAAATTGTACTTGGGCCTTTTCTAATTATATTGATTATAAAACCTTCACTGAGTCTACCACGTTTGACCTAATGTCATTTGTATTGAAACATATTTGGGATGCACAGCATCCAAAACAGTACAGGACTGTAGATAGCCTTCCCTCTAGTATGAAGAGGTATCCCTTAGCCATGCAGAGGGACCAGCTTATCTCATTGTGTTCTTGAGAAGGGCTGCAAGACTGATGTCATCTCCTGAGAGGCTCCGTAATGTCACCTACACTTCAGTAAATAATTTCCTTCTGGCACAGATTGAGGTATTTATGCATTAACAATAAGTGTGCCAAATCTGTCTATACCAAACCAAAGTCCTTAAATGTGCCAGTAAGGGGCCTGGCTACTGCCAAGTCTAAAGCAGAGCCATGTCCTCTGAAAGTCTCCATAAATGCCAGGGAAGCTGGCAAAACAGTCAAGAGCTGGCATTACTGTGGATGTAATCAGTCAGAAACGGGTTTATCTGGACTTTAACTGGTCTTTGTTGTATCTTAACCAGCAGACAGCCTGGAGTTTCAGGTCAAACTTGGTCTTTTGGCTGCTCAATAGATTCTTCTGTTCTGGACAAAATTATATCATAAGTGAACCTCCCCCACAAACATAGCAATCATATTATTTTCATGGTCTTTCATTAGTGTACGACAGAGAGATTTCTCCTCTTTACAAAAATGTATAATTCATCTTCAGGTTGCAATTTGTAAGTCTTGAGTTAAATGAAAGGTAGAGTTTGAATTTTCACATTTCATCAAGTATCCCATGTAAAGACAAAGTGAAATGGACCCACCTCATACACGCACAGTGCCACTATTTCCTTTGATTACTTCTCTATAGTCATATAAACTTAGCTACATCTAATAAATATTTTTTTTTTTGCCTGTAGTGCCCAGACTCAGCCTGCAAACAGGATCTGCTAGCCTACCTGCAGCGCATTGCCCTCTACTGCCACCAACTCAATATCTGCAGCAAAGTCAAGGCAGAAGTTCAGAACCTGGGAGGAGAACTTATTGTATCAGGGGTAAGCTGGTATTTGTATTTAGCCATTTATGTTTTGCATGTAGCACTTGAAAAGGAGCATTTTTGATGGCAATAATGTAGAAAACAAAAATACAGTGATTCATAAGCAAGCTTTTTAAAATGTTATCACCATTATTCCAGACCCTACAATAACTTGCATAGAGCAATTTAGTTTTCCAATTACCCTTTGTTTATACTAACCTTGTAAAATCTTCCTTCTTCCAAAAGAAAAGTAATTTCATGGCCTAGAAAGTCATTGCCAAGCTGTGAATATTATAATTATTTGTAGCTTTTGTATATTTGCTCATTATAAATCATCTTTCCTTTGTTAGTACTGGTAATTTCCTTCCTCTATGCAGAAGCCAAATCTGTATGAAGTGCATATTGTTAAGATGGTGATGACTAATGGGATTTCATTCACTCAGGTGCCAATGAACACTAGGTTTAGCAAAGCCTCTGGAAGGCTGGAAAAATATTTTAATTTTTGATGCACGTGCTGTTTTCAAATACTATTGGCAAGCACAATGATTATATTCTCTAATTCCCATCCAGTTATTTCAGTTACATTCAATTAATGCTACAAACTTTTCACACACAGTCTTTTTTTTAGAAATAATGACAGGAATGTGCAGCAGTAGTAATACCATAAACAATGAGTTTTCTACATTTTTAAACTATTTTTTCTTTCGTTCTCCTAATGATGGACTCTGTGCCTCTAGGAGATTATTAGAACCAAACAATATCAATTGCTGCTCTTCATGATTTTCTTGTTTTGTTCTTTTAACTAATCACCCTAGTATTAGCCCCAAGACACCTTTGTTATCTTCTAACTCAAATACAGACCATATGTATGTAAATCTATAACAAGTTTCACTCTCCTGAGTGTGTTTTCAAAATGATGGTGATTTGTGAGACCCAAGATACTTGAAAAAAAGATTGTTTTCAAATGGAGTTCTGAAAAAGCACCCTTTCATTGTTTAAGCCCAATCAAGTACGGAGATCGGTAGGACAACTAACATATGCCCTTCATTTCATCCATAAGATTCCCCAGTGAAATCACTGGCCTTCCTCAAACATATCAAAAGTCAGAGCCAATATTCTCAACTACATAACATTTTGATTTTTTGCAAAGCACTGTAGAAGGTCTTAAAACATTTGCCGGGCTTTCTTGGATCAAACATTCGGAAGTGATAGATGCAATCCTAAAAAGGAGCTGCTTAAACGTTCCTGTGTCTGTCCTGCAATTGGTCTTCACTTCTTGACGTATGTACATATGTAATTTTAATACCTTGATCTTCCCACAGCAATGAAAAGATCCTCTTCCATTTTCCTGATTTTAATGGAGTGATCTGTCCTTGTATCGCTGACAGCCATGCTGCATAGTAAATGCTACGATCTTTTCTTACTGCCATCTGGGTCCAGCTTTTCATATCCATTGAGTTGTCATATTCATCTATCTATAACAATTACCAAAATCAGTGCTTCTGCCAGCTTGGCTTTTGTGGTTGTGTGTGTTTCTTTTTCAAGTCTCTTTATTCAGTGTATGTGGATGCTGAATAAGCCATTGTGAATCTCTAGCATATATTTGTTATTGGAACATTACCATCCATTGTTGAACCGCTTGACTTCATCATTTCCAGTCTGGCATTGTTAGCATCTGCTGCTTACCGGGCTTCATCACCATTGTGTTTCTGTTTCGTTGGGTTTTTACAGTCAGTTGCAGAAAAAGGCAAAACTAGGTTCAACCTCAGAAATTATTTCAGTCTGTTCCAAAGACTCAGTAGTACTGTCATAGAGAAAAGTTTGAGATTGCCCAACTTGCGTCTTCTGCTGTTGCTCTGAACAGGAGGTCATACAGAGAGTTGAACTCCTGTACATCCCTTTTTGAGAGCATTGTCTTTCCTGATAGTGTTTTCCAAAGTGTTTATCTTCAACGTGCTGGGTACTGTATGCTCCTTTGCTATCCAGAGATCTGGTATCCAATTGCACATCTACATCTGCTTGTCTACTTGCTGCTTCTGCTTCCATCTTCTTCTTCATTTTCTCTTGGATAGCCAATTGCAAATAAACAGTATTTTATTTACCTTAAAATGAAATACCATTATTTGGCAACTTGCATACAGTACAATGTTAGAAGTACAATAGAAATCCAGAATTCAGGCTTCACAAGCTATGACTACAGAAGTAAGTTTATGTGAATGCACAATATTTAAGTGTTTTGATGTAGATATCAAGCACCAGGATAATTGTTACAATATTGTAATTTAGTACTTGTGTTTACAAAGAACTGCCATATAGTTCAGATTGATCCAAAAGATGAGTTATGATTCGGAACTGTTATGGGGAGTACAATCTCTGCTTGAATTTTTGCTTTATTAAGACTATTAGTCAATATTTATAAATGAAATGAACATATGCATAAGTATGTATGAGTCTGTGTGTGGGCATTTGTATATTTATGTAAAAAGGAAAGAGACAAAATCAATTAAAACCTAAAAGACAGATGAAAGCCACCCCACAGTTCTTATAGTTCTAATCTGTTAGGGAAAAATGTGTTGCAACAATTTCAAAAATACTGTGTACTTAACATATAATGTGCTGTATATCTTTTGGTGAAGTTTCTATTTTTTTTTTCCCTACAAGATTCAGCAGTTCAGTATGGTTTATCTCTGAAAAAAAGCATAAAGCTGATCTTGTTTGCTTTTTCCTCTGTAGATTGGTGTGATATTAGCATAGCATATGAAGGGGTTCTTTTTGGCATCATTGACTTTGCTGCAGATAGAAAAACAGATCAAAAAGTAAGAAGATGTCGAACTCCTGAAGTGTAAATTATTTGAGTAAAGGAAAGAACCCACTGTTGGTTTTTCCTTTTTCTTCCATTCCTTTTCCCCCAGATCTTTCTCTCATTTGATCTTTCCCATCAAATTCCCTGCATGCAGATAGCAAAATTATTTTCACCAGATAAGTAAGATCTCGCAATTGAGAGTTAGCATGCATCAGCCTAACCTCATTAATATCAATAGAGCAAGGCCAATTTAGACTATCTATTGACTTGGCCCTTGATGTTGCAAGGTGAGACTCTTAATTCCTGATTCCAATTGAGTTTTGAAAACTAAAATAAGGAAATACTGTGTGACACCTGTTCTTCAGTGGGAAGCCTTGTAAACTTGAAGAAGATTATAGAAAGTAAAGGAGTGAGGAGGAAGGTAGATAAAAGAGGAAAAAAAAAAGCAATAAATTTTTTTAAATTTCTAATCTGTGTAGATGATATCCTTGTTTCTAAGAAAAAGTCTCTTTGACTTTGGTCCATAAACAGATATCAATTTCTGTGATTTTAAATTTGAATATTCAATTTTTCATTCACCTCTAAGAATAAACAACTTCCTTTAATAAAATCAGAGACTAAAAGCACTTCAAAATTATTTTCTTTGTCTCCTGCCTTAGTTTATCTGATGCAATGTATATTTGCTTCATTATCAGTTGCACCATTGTATTGGAGTGAATCCTCTGAGGTGCTGAGCATATGCTACTCTCAGTGAGTTTAATACCAATGACATATACTTAGCTCTTGCTGATAGATAGCCTTTTTGTGGTAGCTACTTTTGTTTAATAGAGTTGGTTTTAACCATGATATTTGTTATTTGGATAAAAAAGATCAGGCTTCTTATAACTGTAAGACTGATTTATTTTTTTTTTTAGTATTCCTGTCTGACTCTTCTTAGCTAGATCATGACAATAAAACTGAACTACATATTTATTTCTTACTCTGGAATAAATATCCACTTGTTCTGTTTGCTGCTGCTCTGAAGCTGATCGGCTCATTTACCTACCCTCCATTTAAGCTATGAACTTGCATTTTTTAAAATACTTGCTTATGGTGGTAGTTATAGTCTTTCCTGCAGGATTAGATTGAACAGAATCTAAGAAAATCCTTATCCAAGGCAGCCCCCTATCATGTTCAGGTTTAATTTAAAATTCTACAAATATAATCTACTATATTATCAGAAAATTTGCCCAAAGAGTCTTGAACTTCTGGGCCAGATAGATAAGCAGTGTCATACAGAGTAACAGCCATGTATGCTGTCCAAAAATACCGAATCGATAGCCAAAGCACACTCCAAACGTATACTTTAGCTGGGTCCAATTTCCAAAGACCCATTTATCTTAGCATAATAGGCTCAGTGACAATTCTAAGAGAAGGATTCTTAGAACATTTTGAAGATACAATACAGTTTAGTTAAGATTGTGACTTGATCTTGGAGTTATTGCTCGGTGAATTTAAGTGAGGACTTTTGGGGGAAAAGGAAGGTAAAAGAGCTGCAGCCACCCCATTAACTTTGGGTAGAACATTATGAAAATTCCCTTAATACCTGGACTGGGAGGTTGGATCCATAAAAATATTAACAGATATGGGATATACTGCAAGATAACTGTCTATATGTTTATTCTTGATCAGTGATCACAATATGGTAACTGGAAATAGCTAGTTCTCAAAAAAAGAATAAGCCTCGTTATTTATTGCAGAATAACAGTGTGCATCCAGCAGTTACTTCAGGTGAGCTGGCAGTTTCCCTATCAGTTCTGCCTGTGGTATAGTAAAACAAAATGGTTTAAAGGTCATACTTTTCTTTCATTTGAGACTGAATCACCCTAAACTACCTCGTGCTGTAAAAGCAAGTTGCTGCACATATGGGCAGTGGAGCACCAAGTTGCTACTTATGAATTGTATAGATTCAAATAAAAGTCAGGTAATTGAAGTTCACCTGCTGTGAAAAATCAGTAAGGCCATCTTACACTGAAGTTGGATTAAGAGCCTGGGCGTAAGCAGTTGCTTAAGAGCCACTGATGTGGTATTTCATTTCACTGCATCAGAAAGCTTTTCTAGGGTTTTTCTTTTGTTTGTTTGTTTTCAAGTAAGCAATCAGAGAGAATCTTTGCATTTAAAATGCTTAACAGTATGGAGAAAATGTTGTTTTGGAGTTTGATAAATAAAGCAATTTAATTTCTCCTGAATTGGGCAAGAATTGAGCATTCTGTAAAAGAAAGTTTGCTAAAGGAAGAGTTGGCAAATTGGCAAAACTGTAGGGTTCCTCTTCTTCAGGATTCTCAGAAGCACAAAAAGGTTACTCCTCCTATTTAGGTAGCAACCAAAGAAGTTTTGCTATTAATTTGTAACAGAAATGGAAGAATGTTACGTGACGTATACTCAGAGAAACAGTCTGACAAACAAGGGTTTGTACATATTTCTGGGCTGGGCTGCTTGGACTGGCAAGGTCTCAATGTTTTCAGTAGGAAACACCTGAGCTAAGACCTAGCTGTGCTTAATGATTAATAGATACCACTAACAGAAATTCTGTGTTTTGTCTGCTAGTGATTCAATTTACTTGGAGCTGAGGGTAAGAGCAGTTATTCCTAAATAATTGCTGTGTTCATATTTGCTGGACAGTGAGTGCTCACAGCTTACACACCACAAAGAGATATCCTCCTATGTCTAAGCTGACATCATGCAAGGCTAGGGTTTGGGTTATGGTAGTACACGACAAGTGGATAAAACATAAGTGAATATATTCAGCTTGGTAGAGGAAGTGAAAGATGTACCCAGGGACCCCATAGATATTTACTACATTGTTTAAGAATATAATTTTACTTTTGTGTTTTTCTTTTTTAATTTAAGCTTTTTATTTTTGCAAGTTGATTTTCGTGTTTAATCACTGTTTAATCCACAAGATTGTAGTAAGAAGTTAGAATGACAAAAAAGGGAGTTGGCAAATATAAGTAGTGCATTGTATGTACCAATGTTGTGAAAATAATGTGAGATGGGACTCATGGAAATATATTTCTTTAGGATGGGGTTGGTGGAAAGGAGTTCTGTTTTGAGACTTGGAATGAAAGGTTCCAGGACAGGAAGGCTGGGACTAGGTGGGGAAAAAGAGATCTTTATTTACATTGTGCATTCACCTAGGTCATGTCGTCTGCCTTAGAAGAAATGAAAGAAATGAAAAATACAGGGAGGAGTTTCAGCTTTTGGGATGGAGATATATTTAAGTAACTTCTACATATGTGTTTGAATGCATGCAGACATATTGATATGTGAGAGGGTGAAATAAAGCCATAGTTAAGCATACTCTGTTCTAAAATACATGACTATATGGAGCACCTGTTACTTATAAATATACAGGTTTTGATAAGCCTTTGTCTGGAACAAATTGTTTGAGCTTTTCTATTTGTGACTGATGCAGGAGTCTCCAACTCCTGCTGGCACAGGCTGCGTCCCTCAATACACCGTCCAGGCAAGGAACTACCTGATGATGTGACAATATAAAAAAATTATCATCCTGACACTGACTCAATTTACTACTCCTAAAGGATAAAGGCATCAGTGAGTTATGCAGGTTAATCAAAATGAGTGCTGATAAAATCCTTCATGGTCATATATTCATTATATAGGATGTATTTTATGGAAACACTCTCTTAGCGCTTTCTGAAAGTTAAAATGGTGAAGAACTTCTAATTATCTATGAAACAGCTCAAAGACAAATTTAAAAAATACATAAATAGGTGTATCTATAGTGGCTTTAAAGCCATTTATAATATCCCTTCCAAATAGGTAACAATAATAAAGATTTAGTTCATTAGATCAAGGTTACCTACTGCTTCCCAGTAAAGGTAGTGCAGACCAGGAGCCCAGACAGAGAGTTTGTTCAACTGGCATCCTTGGAAGGGCTCAAGCCTCAGGCAGCAGCTGAGTGGATCTAATGTTGGTAATCAACTCATTTCAAGTTGAAAGTTGTACAAGAGACTTCCAGAGATTGTTTTCAATAAACATTTGTATGGTGTTTTGATTCAGCTAAGTGAAAGATCCCATAGGATCTTCTTTCTACATCTGTGAGTTCACATGGTTTTACCTATATAACTGTTGCTGAATTGGACAATAGTATGTACCCTGAGCTTTGGGCATCTGGGGGATCCACATAAAGAATAACGCAGAAGACTTTGGAAAGGTTGATTTATTAGTGTTAACAGTTATTTCTTCAAAGCAGCTGAGTGAAGGTGGATTTGTGGTGGTCAGAATTTACATTATGTAAGGAGAAGTAGATGAATGAAGGTTAAGACATACTGAAAACTTCAACAAGAAAGTATTTTTTATTAAATAATCTCAGTTTCTTATAAGCTATATTGTTTTGTTATAAGGCTATTTTCAGGACTAAGAAACTATCTCATTGTATGTAAATGAATGCGTAAACACATAAATATGAAACAATACAACCCACATAAATGAAAAGATGTTATGTAGAATATCATTTGCAAAGCAAAATCACATTGCACTTGTCTTCATTAGAATATATTCATGGAGACAAGAAGCATTCACATGGTCTATGTGTCTACATTTGGTAGGTTAAAATTTAGACAGGTCAGACTTTTATCCTTATTAAGAAGCATTTTGGCTAAAGGGAACATGGTCTTGTGCTTTATCACGTAACAAATATTCACAAATTTCTGAAAGATTGCATTTATTTAAATTTCTCATTAGACAAGTTTCTGCAAAGAAAAGCATTTCTGATACCAAATAATGTTAAGCCATTTTAATTCAATGAGAACAAGTGTTACGGATTCAAGATTGAGGCTTGAAACAAAAATCATCATAGGAAAAGATTAGAGAATTGAAGGAAATACTAATGTCTATGCTTCATTACATGCTGCATTTGTTTTAAAAATAGGAACCACTCTGAAATCAAAAGTTTGTCTGCTACAGCAATTATGGGTTCAGTCCAGCTTGTTTTCTTATTGCAGGCCATGC